GCACTTGGCAGCCCGTGCACCCCCAAGCCACACCTTGGCTTCGGGTGCCTCAGCTGAAGGCTGTGGAACAAAACGGAGCTGGAGTGGGCACAGACCATGGAGGGGCAATTCCCAAACCCCAGAGCTTTGCTGCAGCTCGCCGCAGTCCGAGGGGAAGCGCTTCCTCCCCACGGCGTGATTTAGAGGAACAAATTAAACAATTGCACATGAAGCTTTGGCAGACGTCATCGCCGGAGCTCTCCTCGCTTCCCCCGAGTGTATAAAGGGATGAAGGGAGTGCACATGTTTACCGAGAGAGACCATGGGAGAAACGAAAGACATTGTTTTTCCAAAGGATTTCTTGGCTGTAAAAGACCTCCACCACCCTGCGGCTTCCCTGATGAAGGCCCAGCGTTAATTTGTTAAATCCACATCAAGTGCCCAGAGAACCCGTTGTTTATTTTTGCTAATTCAGCCGGCCGAGATCAAATTGGGGTTTTATTTGTTAAGGATAAACCTTAATTAATAAAAGCTATTTATTTGGCTAGAGCCGGCCACAGCCTGAGGGTCAGATATGCCACGATCATTATTTCAAGTAAAACAAACCCAAAATGTCTCTCAACAGTTTGAAAAACGTAGAAACTTAGAGGGCTGAATTTATTTGTCTTAGGAAGAATTTACAGCTAATTCCCTCCAGGCTATTTCAACCCTTAAATTATACCCAAGAAGCAAAAAGGAGGAAAAAAAATGCCATTCCAGGCGTAGCAGGGAAGTAAATGGTACAGCAGATTTGATCATTTTGGCTGGGGGGGGGTGTGAAAAATTTAAAGCTTAAAGGGTCTTTGGCAAACTGCTCGCAAATAAATGGAACGTGTGAAATAATTTAATGACAGAAAACGTTTCAGGGCCATGGGGGCTGCGGTGCAATGGAAAATGAAACACGTTGGAGGAGATGTAGCCTGGGCTTTTTGCGTGAGAGGGTTGAACTTGCTGCCTTCTGACCTGAAAAATGGGGGTATTTGCACCCCAAAGCCAAGTAGTAGAGCTGGACTCAGGAAAACTTGTTCCAGGATGTGTTGGTAGTGGCAGGGAGAGGGGTTTGCAGCATCACCTGGGGAAGAGACAGGCTGGCAGCTGGCTGAAGTGACCATCTGGGGTGGCAGGGGTGGTGCTGGGCAAATACCACGCTCTGGATGAGTATTTTGCAAATAAACCCCCCAAACTGGGTGTCCAGAGGGGAGACTGAGCATGGCAGGCAATAAAGCCCCAAGGGAGGTTCCCTGCCTGCGTGAGTGAGCTGCTGGGATGGTCGGTGCGGGTGGATCTGCACCCCAGCTGCTCTGAGGCCATTTACTGGGCACTAAGGGAGCTCCTGAGGCAAACCCCAAAGCCTTGGTGGAAATCAAGTGAAAATTACCTCTTTACAGTGCTCATCAGCAGCTGTGGGAGGTTGGGGGCCCTGCCAGTGTAAGGGCCCCCCTTGGCAAGCCCAGCACTGAGGGCTGAGACCTGCTGAGTTGTTCCTGTGGAAAACTGATGGAAGCACAGAGGGAAAAGGCAAGAGTGGGAGAAGGGGGCTTGGTTGGTGGCCAGCTGAACCAGCACAGCTCTGACCTGGGGGTGGTGTTGCCTTTGCTCCCAGGTTCTCAGTGTAGCACAGCCCAGGCTTGCCATCATTGGAGCATTCTCCACAGGGAGAAGGGTTTTGGGGTGACTCCCAGCACCCCGTGGCATCTGCAGGGCACAGCGCTGTGCCCAGGCTGTCTGCAGCTCTCAGGCAGCACTGCCTGGGGCAGGACAGCCCAGAGAGGAGGCTGGAGGTTACCCAGGCCACATCCAGCACCCCAAAATTCATCCACATCACGGGTGAAAAGACTCCTGTCTTTCCTAACAGTCTAGGGAAATTTAAGGCTTTTTTGTGAGGCACATTGGGCCCATCCTGCTCTGTGCAAAGCCCCCGTGCCTCCCTCTCCCCATCCTCCCCCGCATGTCATCTTTCGTTATTCAGTAATGCTATCCCCCCTGTTTTCCCCCTTTCCTTGCATTTCTTTTCCTTTCAGCGGAAATTGTAATCAGTGGAAGATAAATACAGGGAAGGTGGCTGGGGGGAAGGCTCAGGAGTCCCTCTGACCTCAGGGTTGGCCAACCAAACTGGTCCCTTCAGCCCAAATGAACCCCCAAATTATGCCTGACAAAGGCAAGGGTTTGGCTTTCTCCATAATCTCCCCAAGCACTGCTGTGGGACAGAACAATGATGGTGGGAAGCTGCTTTTAACTTTGTGCAATTACAAACTCTTATTCCTGGGAGCCCATCAGGCTGGGGAACTGATTTCCAATTCCTCCATCAAGGTGTCAGCGGGTCTGGTTAAATCCGAGTCCTGCTGATGGCCGTGAGAGGACAGGGGGTCTTCAGGGGACCCAACTTATCCCTTTTCCCATTCCTTTTCTGATGCCACAGAGAATTTAGCCATGCTCATTTCTGGGAAGCTGATTTGGGGTTATTAAAGCATCTCTGATAGAGAAGATCCAGCCTGACTGTACACTGTAAACCTGTCAGGCACTCACCACCAGCAATTGGGGTGGCATCTGTCTGGTCCCACAAGCCTGCAATGCCTGAGCTAATGAGGAAAAGATGTTGATGCATTACCAAGGCTCATCCCTAAGCAGAGCAGAGGATCCAGGCAGGCACTCCATGTGTGGAACTGCCTCCCTGCCATAGAGAGATGCCCTGGAAAAGGTGTGGAAGGCCTCTCCATTAAAAGCAGCAATAGGGGCTGAACAAAATGCCCCAGAGCTGGCATGGCCCAGGGTTTGCAGGTCTCCAAAAACCCAGGAACCACTGGGGCTTGGACACATCCTGATCCAACTCCAGTCTTAAACCTCGATCCCAGCATCACTGCCAGCCCCATAGAGGAAGCACTCAGCACTACTTGTCTCCTGTGGCTGTTTAGCTCTTCCTTCTGTGGGTTGGAGGAGATAAAGACCAGTCAGAAATGTGGCCAGATCCTACAGAACTGGATTGAGAGTTAATTTTAAAAAAAACTTTCCGCCTTCTCCTTTCTTTCAGCCAAATTAGAGTGGGCAAGGAAAACCATCACTATGGAAAAGTTCTATAGCCAGGTTTAAATTGAGGACAAAGCCAAAGGGGGGTTATAAATTTTATTTATACACTTCCCAGGGTGCTGTTGAAATCACTGCCAGTTTGGTGGGGAACAGTGGGTGCCCTTGTGACTAGACCTTTTGAACCAAACCCTGATCTACCATTTCTCCAGAAGCCCTGTGGCATGGTCATAAACCCACATGGAAACCTCTCACCCTGTAACATCCTGTAGCTCTTTCCCAGCCTGATGGTTCCCATTTCAGTCCCAAGCTCCCAGAAAACTCTGGGACAACCATGGCTGGACTTACGTATTTTAATCCAGCAGCTCGTTAGCTCGCTGAGGGAAAACAGGACCAAAAAAGGAGTTTAACTAAAAGGGGCAACTGGAAAGCAAAGGACTGGCAGAACATTTGAAGCTGCAGGAGGAAGTGCTGGAGGGAATTCTGAGAATTTTATTTGTGAGCCTTTAGACACGATTGGTGGTGAAGGGCAGCCCATGGTTTCCTGGCTGGGGAAAGGGTCTCAAACCCACACATATTTCAGGCACTGTCCATCGTGTCTTCACCCAGCCAAGAAGGCCATGTCCAAAATACAAGATCAAAGATTGTTGATGGTCAACCAAGGCCAAGTTGCACCTACAGCACAATGAAAGACCCAGAGAAATGCCAGTGGCTGCAGAAAGGCCTTGGGGGAATGGTGTAGTTGGGCACATAAGAGTCGTAGGGACTTGATGAAAAACTTACTGTTGGATATTTCATGGCTTGAATTATTCAGAGTTAAGGTGCAAGAAGGTTTGTCTGGCCTTAAAGATCTTAAAGTTTCCTCTTGCTCAACAGCTTGATGGTATCTTGAAACAGCAGAGTTAATATCCCTTCCAGTAGATTTTGTTTGTTGCTCAAGCATTATCTGAAAATGCTGGACTTATTAAATAAGTATCACGATTAATATTATTAGCAAATATTTAATTTGTGAGCATATTCAGGGAGTGGTGAGTTCTGCCACCCTGCCCTCTGCAAGGATATAGAGCAGAAAGCCCCAACATACCCTTGCCATGAATCAGAATGTCATAAAATTATTAACATTTCAAATAATTCCAGAATGCTTTCCCACCAGTAGGTACAGATTGGATCCAGATGCTTTATTAACAGAAAGAATCATTAACCAGTACCTCCACAAGGGAGAACAACAGCGCGTCGTGCTCCCCACGAAGCCTTTGCTGGGTGTCTCGGAAAAAGGCTTCATAAAATTGCCCAAACCTTATGATATTAGTGACAAAGAGGAGATTAATCTCAGCCTGGCTGACAGCCCAAGATCAATACTGAGAAACCAGACTACACCCTCAGCTTCATGTTTCCATGAGCCAGCAAAGCCAGAAATAAACACTGCGGAGGCTGAGCCCTGCGAGATGCGGTGCCGCTCGTTCTGAGCTCTGAAGAACAGGGCTGGAAGAGCAGATGCTTGGCTGCAGTCCTGTGTCACCTTGGGGACATGCCACAGCTGGGGCTCAGGGGGTGCTGGAGGTGGGAGCTGAGACCCACATCTTGGAGGTGTTTTGGTGCTGAATTTTCATCACCATTCATGAAAGGTTGACTTAAAGTCTTAGCAAGAGCCGAGCTCCAGTTTGGATCAAGTGCAGCCCCAGAATACACTGAGACTGGTATCCAAAATCAGGTCAGCATGGTTTTAGCCAGATGTCAAACCACCACAGGCCTTGGTAAATTTTGGGGTTAACCCTGAGCTCCAGCAAGTTCCAAAATGGGTTTTGATTTTCATGGACATCACAGGGTTGCACATATGCAGCTCCCCACAGAGTCCCAGGTGCCCGGAGGGAGCGTGGCTGGCACAGAGCAGGACACTGCAGACCCCCAGGAGGGTCTCACACGGGTCTGGCTCTCATGTGGCTTCTGTTCCATCCCCACAGGCGAGAGCCTGAGCCCAAGCTGCGGGGCAGCCAAGAGGAAGAAGAAGCAGAGGAGGAACCGCACCACCTTCAACAGCAGCCAGCTGCAGGCTCTGGAGAGGGTCTTTGAGAGGACGCACTACCCCGACGCCTTTGTGCGGGAGGAGCTGGCGAGGAGGGTCAACCTCAGCGAGGCCAGAGTCCAGGTGAGCACAGGTTTGTGTGAAAGCAAACAACACCCTCTGCCTCGCCCCCAGGCAGGAGCAGGGACTGTCCCCTCCCTTCTTTCATCCTGCACATCACTGTGACCCATAGGACAGATGTTTGGGACATCCCTGCGTGCACCGGGTCCCCACTGACCACCTCTCCCCTGCCACAGGTGTGGTTCCAGAACCGGAGGGCCAAGTTCCGCCGCAACGAGAGGGCGATGCTGGCCAACAGATCGGCATCGCTGCTCAAATCCTACAGCCAAGAAGCAGCCATTGAGCAGCCCATGGCACCACGACCCACTGCACTGACCCCTGAGTATCTCTCTTGGACCAGCACCTCCCCGTACAGGTAGGTGGAGGCTCTGGAGGAGCAGGGGAGGAGGTGGCCATGGGGTAGGGCTGCCTAGAGACTACTCCACTGCTGCAGGAATGCAGCTCTGTGCCACTGCTGGGGATTGGGGGAGTTTTATGAGGCTGAAAGGAGCTCATCTGACTTGGCTTTGGGAACCATTTCAACTCTGTCTGAACATCCACTGCCCAATGCTGAGCAGGCTTCCCTGTCTCCTTGCATTTTGGGGCTGGAGCAGGCGCCCTGGTCCTCGCAAGGGATTTGCTTGGCCTCGTGCTGACCCTTCCCACATCTCGGCACAGGAGGTGGCATGGGTCCCTTCTGGTTCCCAGCTGTTCATGTTCAGCCATCACATCCAAAAGCACAAAGCAGGGCCTCCTGGTGCATAGTTTGAGGGGGTTCCCACATCCATCCAAACCCATAAAAATGCTGAAGCCTTGGCTGTTCTTGTGAGAGATCTCCAACAGGGAACAGCCAGCCTGGTCTGGGAAGCCAGCAGGACCACAAAGGGCATGGGGTCTTCTCCATGGGCCACTGCCTCATTCCTCCCTGCTCCCTCCCTGCAGCACTGTGCCCTCCTACAGCTCCAGCGGGACCGCAACGCCCGCCCAAGGGGTGAACATGGCCAACAGCATCGCCAGCCTGCGCCTCAAAGCCAAAGAGTTCAGCCTCCATCAGAACCAGGTGCCGACCGTGAACTGAGCAGGGCAAACCCCATCCCGTGGCCTCCTCCAGGATACAGCGTGGAGCTCCTGTGCCGGTCCAGGACAAATCCGCCGCCTGCCCAACACACGTGCCACTCATCCAATGTCTCAGCATCTTCTCTCCTCTTCCCTTCCCTTCTGAAGGTAGAGTCAGTCCCAGGCCGAAGTGGCACATAATTATAGCCACATATGGAGCGAACTTGGTTAGAAACTTGCTTTTCCGCACACCCTTCTAATAACAGCTATATATACACACATACCCCCCACACGCTCTTTGAGGACAAACAGACTTGCCAAGGGAACGAGAATTTGCTTCCAAACATGGAAGGATCTTGGACTATTGGATTTGACCAATTTGGGTATCTTGCCCAGAGAGCCAAAGAGTTATTGGGTCTTCTCCTCCCGCAGGGACAGTGTGGGAGGATCACGAGCCCCCCTTTCCACCAGGCTGTGACTTGCAGCGCTCAACTGTGTGTGCCAAAGCTGATCCATGTGTTCGTTTCTTTGTGCAACCCCAGCCACAATGTGGGGTTTGGGACTTCCCAAAGTTTGGGACTTTGGGAAGCTGATGGCTCACCCATGCCATGGCCAGTCTCAGCCAGCCCTCTGCACAGTGCTTCCTGCATTTAGGAGCTGCCTATGCTGATGGCATCAGGCTTTGTCCCATCCCAGAGGGGCAAGCAGAGCTGCAGCACCTCAACAGACCCTCCTGGAGCCTGTGAGCTCTCCCGTGAGCTGGGGATGCATCGCCAATCCCCAAGCAGGCACCGCTGCCCTGCCTCGGTGGATTTGCCAGCGATTCTGCAGAGCCCCAGGTCATTGAACAGTCCCAGGGAATGAGAAAATTGGAAAAAGCTGTTGGGTTTCAGCTGAGTAGGCGGCTCCCAGCGCTTCGTGCCAACGAAGGCTTCGCCTTCCGGAGGCACAGCCTCCCCGTCGGCAGCTCCGCAGATGTGCTCGGGGGTCTGGGGCCGGCAACTCCATGGGGGGAGGCTTTTTTGGTTTTGCAGAAAGGAAATGGTTTCCCCCTCATCCCACCCTGCTGTGCAGCCTAATGAGGTTCCAAGGTGGGACGTGCAGGGGATGGACGTGGGGTGGGCAACCTGGCCCTCATCCATGGGACTGAGCTGGGGAGAGATGCAGCCTCCACATTCCCCTGCCAGTTCTGCAGCCAGAGTGCTGGAGGTGGGGTGTCCCTGTGGACAAAGCCCACTGGAAACCAGATCACACTTTCCTCACCCACTGGAAAGAGCCACCAGCCAAGCACGGGGACACCACCAACTCAGAGGGGTGGCCTGGACAGAGAAGACACAAACCAACAGGGGTTGGTTTGGGGGCTGCAGCAACAGATCTGAGGACAAAGAGCAATTGCTGAGGTACCTCCACCAGGTAAACATCCTCTGGTTGGTGACACCGAGGCTGAAAGTGCCACAGTTACAAAGTGCCCACCTGAGTCCCCACAGCTCCAGGAGCATTCTCTCCCATTCCCACTGGGCTCTCACTGCAGCTGCATGTGGGACCCAGTGGCTGTGACACCAGGGCCATCAGCTAATGCCAGCATGGGGGGACTCACCCAGCACCCAGAGCTGGAAACCTGGTGGGAGAACCATCTCCTCTGCCTGGGGGTGAACCAGCCCCTCCATCCTGCTCCAGCCCTGGCCTTCTCTGCTCTACAGTGCAGGCCCCAGCTGGGAACAGCTACGTTCTCCTCCTCAAGCTTGGCAGGCAGGGAGAAAGCACAGCCTGACTGATCCTGTCCACCTCCTCCAGGGAGCAGTGTCACCCTAAATACCCACCCTCTGCCCCATCTGTATTTCCAGGGCTGGGATCCCTCCCATTTGTCATGCCAGCTCCCCACTCTGCACGGAGACCTGCCAAACCAGGGGGAAGAGGCATCCACTGTGGATCAAGTCATCCACCCTGAGAAACACCACTTGGGGCAGGAGGAGGGGGCCAGAGGGGTCCTATTCCCATGGAAAGAACAGGGCTCTTTTTACAGTTATACAAGATGAAACCACAAGGATATAAATGTTGCTGCCTCTTTGAGAACATTAATGAAAATAAACCCATTTAATAGTTTGCAGATGCTGTTTCTGTAAACCTAAAAAAAGCAGGGAATAAATATTTCTTCACTAAATATCTATATGTATATATATATTTGAAAACATTTGCTCCTAATCTTAGGGCCCCTCCTTTGCCGTGCTTTTGGCAGTTTATCACAGCTTGTCAGTCAATGCTGAAATGCTGAACTCACCAAGAAGAGATACAAATTGCACCCATGGAGGGGTAGCAGGACCGAAGGATTATTGTAATCTAAGCTCTCTCTCGCCCTTTCTATTTGTACATTTCAGTTACTTGTAACGAGATCCATGGTGGATTTGTTTTTGGTTTTTTTTTTTTTTCTTCTGCATGTCTGTGTTTTGGAAATTTTTGTAAGGTTTTTGTAAAAACAACTCTTGTGAAATAATGGAGGAATAAATATTTTACTGAGTAGAGACGTGTCAGTGCACGTGATAGGGACCTGAGTCTCCCATCACCAGCCACTGTGGTTTCCCCACCTATCCTGGACAAGCAGCCTGGGCAGAAATTGAATTTAGAGGGAGCAAGGAGGGTCAGATTCTGCACAGAAATTGAGCTGAAAGAAACCAGTGGGTCAGAAATAAACCATCAGATTGTAGAGCACTTTCCAGGGAGCAAAGGCCCAGAGAGGCAGAGCAGGCACCGAACACCCAAAACAAGAGGAATCAGTAACCAGGCAAGGGCAACACCAAATAGTTGAGGCAGCCAAAGTTAAGCTCACAGTGCTGAGCTATCAAGGAGCAGATTTAATGCAATGGGGAGAAGCGTGAAGATGTGCCCAGGGGAAACTGCCCAGAACATGCTCAGACTGAAAGGCAGCGAGTCAAGAGGCAGAACTTTCTAGGAAAGGATCAGAGAGCAAGGCAGAAAGTGTCCTCACTGCACAAATAAAGCCTGAAATCCACTGTCCCAAGATATTGTGGAGATCAATGCTACGGTGTATTCAGAGAGGGTGAGAACATTAATGGGGGTAGGTGTGTGTTGGTGCAACGTGGCAGGGATTCAACACCCTGTGCAGAAAACTGCTGCCCTCCCGACTTCCAGGAGAGCTGGGAGGAGAAGGGACCCCTGGGTTTCCCTTGTTTCTTTTACTTGCCTTCACCTTCTGAGCTGCAGCAGCCTCCTGTGAGGCCAGCTCACATGGTGTCACTTACAGGATGTCTCTGTCACCTCCTCCTCCTCCCCAGCCATCCTCAACCCCCTCGCACAGCCAGGGGGTTCACAATGCTCTCCCATGCACCCAGAGAGGCTCAGCTCCATGAGAGCCACAGCAGCAGTTCCCTCCCAGCAGCAGCAGCTTTTGTCCCTCCCATCACCAGTGACCCACGTGGATCCAAGGCTGGGGAAGGCAGGAACCCTAAACAATGCATTCCAGCTTTCCCTAGAGGGGAACAAGACTCTTCCCTGCAACAGCCAGCAGGAGAACATATTGGACATCACCCCAGGCCCACCATGGTCCCACACACTTGACCATCCCTGCCAAACTGCTCTGCTGCTGCTTTGTAACCACTTGTTTATTCAGTAAGTGGCTTGTAGATCATTAAGGCCAATTGTCCAACCTCCTGCATATAGAATATCACCCAAGCAGCATCCTCATGTCCTCAGCACGTGGCCAGTGCAGAGCATCCCCTTGGAAAGCATTCAGCCCTGAGTCAAGAGACCTTTGGAAGTGATGAACTTATGGATCCCAGGGCAGATTCCTCCAGTGACTCATCACTGTTGACTGCTGGAAATATGTCTCTTATTTCCTGCCTGAACTGTCCCAAATTCAGTTCATCTTCCACTAGAGCAGAAGGTCTCAACCCATGGTCAGTCAGCTCCCAGGAGCTGGTGGACATCTGAGGGGGTCTCAAACCAGGAGACAGACAAGCCTGGAGAACTGCAGCTCACCTGGCAGGGTCTGCACTCCACAGAGGAGGGAGATGCTGGGGGAAGGCTGTCAATGAAGAGGAGCTCAAAGGCATAGTGCAACCTGTCCTCCTCCAGGACAGGGGCACTTTTCCTCCCAGGAGGGTCACATCCATCACCAGTAGTAATTTTGGCAGGAGAGCTGGTCTCCATCCATGCACTACAACTTTAGGAGTGGGGGAAGACAAAGATATTGGCAAACTGCTTCCTTCCTCAAAGCAGTTGATTTTCAACCAGGTGATTCCAAAAGGGCAGGTCTCAGGTGATGGAAGGATCTTTCTGCACCCCCTTTCCTTGTTTCTGACCCCACAGCCTGACACTTGCGCATGACTTGCTGACTGATGAAAAGCTGAAGTTTGCCCCTAGAATATTTTAATGAGAACAATTTTGGGTTGTCATCAGCATCGGCTGCTACAGCAGCAAGACAAAACAGAGCTCACATTTTCCAGCTCACAGGAACACCCGCCCCGTTATTCCGGACCAGAATGAATTACAGAATCCTTTCCCACTATCCTTGTGCTGCCGAGCCCTTCTCCCTCTGGTGGCAACGGGAAGGTCTGAAGTCCTGCTGGCACCATCCGCAAACTGCAGGAACACACGTTCCTATGACAGCAACGTGTCACCTCCCAGCAGCAGAGCTCCTGCTGCCCTTTGGAGCAATGCTCCTGGCCTGGGGGTTGTGATGCTCACCCCAAACTCTACATTCCATACGGAAGGAGCAGCTCCTCCCTGCAGCAGATATTTTGCTCGCTGCTGCTTCTTTCCAACCCCACAGGGAAGCAACCTAAGGCAGCAGAGAAGCTGGATGGTAGCTATGCACAGGGATGTAATGCTTTATAGTTACTTGGGAAGAAGGGAGGAAGCAAAGGTTCCTTTTGTAGCTGGTGTCAAAAAGCCCAGGAAGAGTTATCATGTGTAAGGAAGAACTATTGCACGGAGATGCACAGCGTTGCATCCATACACCCCAACTTCAGAAGCACGGGAAAACTGCAGGGATAATTACAAACTTTCCTTCCTCAAACGACCGTGTTCGCAACCAGGTGACTCCCAAAGAGCGAGTCTGAGGTGATGGGAGGATCTCCCTGGAAGTGGCATCGCATCTTGCCCGCTTTGGAGAGGCCGGAGGGCACCGGGGCAGATGTCAGCCTCTTCCCCATCAACCCGTTCCTCAAGGATGGCACCCTCCCTGCATCCCAAACCCCTCCGTGCGCAGCCCGGGCTCGGAGGGTCCGGTGTCCCCGCAGGGTCCCGGTGTCCCCGCAGGGTCCCGCAGCCACACGAGGGTGCTGCAGCCCCGCGCAGCGCAGCGCAGCCCGGCCGAGCCCCGGCGCTGCCCCGCTCCGCACCCCGCCGGATCCCTCGCCCACGTCCCAGGCAGGGGATGTCTGACAGCTCAGCCCCACAGCCGGCTTAGAAAACGCCCGCTGGAAGAAGTTTTCCCGGTGCCGCCTCCATCCTCGTGTGGCAGAGAGCGGCAGCGAGCGCCGGTGTCTCCTCCAGTGGCCGTGCCTGTAGGGCTGGCTCCTCTCATTCTCCCTGCAAGTCACAGGAATCGCAATCCCTCAAGAGGAATGAGGGGATTTGTGTATCAAAATCCCGTCTGCTAGAGGGAATGGAGATTTTGGGAGGGCAGAAGAGTGATCTGTGTTAAGGGGAAGCTGCCCAAGAAGGAATCTCGGTCCAGATCCCAGCAGGGAATGCTCTGGATGAACAGACCCGGGAGCGGCGCAGGCAGGTGGGGAACAGGCGTGTCCTGCGCTCAGGGGTGGGACGGATCCGGGGCTTGAACCACCCGAAAGAGTGTGGGAGGGAAAGCGGCTTGGGCCGGGTCTCCGCTTGCTTTTCTCCCAGCTGCAGACACCGTGAGGGAACACACGTACTGATGGTGTGAATCCCATTCACACATTTAACCACAAAAGGGGGCGGAATGGACCTTGAGGATCATCTACTCCCAACCCACCCCTCCCATAGACAGGGACATCTTAAATTAGACCAAAGCTGCTCAAACAACCTGGCTCCCACCACCCTCCATTAGAAAGTAAAAAAATTCTTACTAATGTCTGAAATTTCTCCTCTTTCAATTTGTACCCCTTTAAGCACCAAATTGTTGTTCTGCAGTCCCAGGTGAGTTTCACAGCGTTGCCGTGTCCTGCTTGGGCCAGGTGTGAAAAACAAGGTGTTGAACATACAAATCACACACCAAACCCCAGATACTGGTGGGTGCAACCACTGTCCTTGCTCTCCTGCAGCGGCAGGAGACACTGGGCACATCCTTTGCCCACATTGATGCCAGAGCAGGAATTTGGGAGCTCTGGTCTTTAGATATTAATTGGGAAAAGGCAGGAATGCTCCCCACATGCAGCAATCACTGGCAGTGTTCAGGTGAGAGCCAGTGGCTCTGAGCACCCGGTCCCAGGAGAGCCCTGATGGTGCTGCCCAAGCAACCAAGCCCACCTTGGTTTTGCTTCCCCCAAACTTACACAGCACTTCAAAATAAGCACAATGCTTGGGCCTCTCTTAAGTTTGCTTTGTTGGCTTTTTGTGTTTGTTTTTTTTTTTTTTTGAGCCAGGAGAGTTCACATTCCCAAGCTTTTCCCTGCAGCCAGTAAGCAGAGTTTATTTTTTTTTAATAAAAAAGGAGAGAGTAGAGCTTTGCGTGTAACCTCAGCTTCCCTGAGCAGGGCATCAGCCTCAGGCACTGGACAGGCAGCTGAGAAGAGGCTGAAGCAGCTGGCAGATCTGGGGGTTGGAAGGGGGTTCTGGAGCCTCCCTTCTTCCTTCCTATGCCAAAATCTCCATTCCCGCCACATCTCCAACCACAGCAACATGTACTGGAGAGAGTCCATTTCATAAAACCGCTGCCTTTCTCATTTGAAAATAAACAGGGTTGAAAAACAACCAAGTGGAGCCATTTTACGAAACTAACAAAAACACTGACAGGACAGCACCTCCCAACCACCACCAACCTAAGAAAATAGGGGAAAACCAGAGAAATGAAGCATTTGTTTCCCAGCAACCTAGTGCAAAAAAAAAAAGGGAGCTACTTATCTTGGAAAACACAAGCAGCTCCTTTATGAGTACTAAGAACAGAAAGAAGAGCAACCACCTCTTACCTGAACTTCTCCAGCCCTCCAGGATTTTTGGGTGAACACCAAGCTCTGTAACAACTTGCTACTCAGGGAAGGAAAAGTGAGCAGAGCTGCTTATAATTCCCAGCTCTGCTGGATTTAAAGGATCAGCACAAATAATGCACACCTGGAAAAGATGTTCCTCTGCAAGGCAGGTGAGTGCAGAGGAAAGGGATGTCTTTTTAGAAGTCCCAGGACACTCCAGGCTCTACAGAGAGGTTTAACATCCTACTGAGGATCCATCCTGCTGGGCTGGACCCAGCTGCTGCCCAGCTGCATCTGCTGCTCCTGAAGGAAGGATGTATCAGAGCACAGTGATTTGTTTTTATTGGGAATATTTGCTTCCTGCCACCAGAATGCATGTGCAGCAGCAGAGAAACATACAGGAGTTCAAGACCTTGTGCACCATGTGAGGCAGAAAAGACTTGTTAAGAGGGGTCTGTGTTTCTGTGTTACCCAGACATCTGTGGGAAGAAGTGGCCAAGAGTGAATTGCTGAACCTGCAATCCTGCCCACCTTCCTTTCAGTGGGAGAGCAAAGAATTCCACTCCAAACTTCACCACACAGCTGAGCCTGATATCAGAACTGCACTAGGATCAAGTTACTGGTACAGAAACTTCTACCTGAGCTGAGCAAATGCTGAACATCATTCTGAACAAATGCTGAACATCAGTCTGAGCAAATGCTGAACATCAGTTTGAACAAATGCTGAACATCAGTCTGAGCAAATGCTGAACATCAGTATGAGCAGGTGTGTCCCAGTGCTCAGTGAGGGCTCAGCAAGAGCATCTCTGAGGAGAGCAGGGTCAAGGGAACAGCCTTAGTGCACAGGACAGGTGGAAAGGGAATTTATTTTCTACTCATTCTGGCTTGCCCCTGTGATGTTATTGAAATTCTGTGCTGCCCTCAGAGGAGGGAGGAGGCACTGAAGAGCAGAGGTTTCCTCCTGCTTTCTCCTCTAGAGGGGTGCTCCATTGCTGCTGCTGCTGGGAGCAGCCCCTGGCACCTGGGGACAGCTGTGTGGCAGATGAGCTCATGGCCTTTGTCACCATGCAGTACCCTGGTCCCCTCCTCTCCAACACGACGCTTTTGGGTGACACTGCAGAGCAGCAATGCTCCCTTCAAAGCCCCTCTGCTCATTTCCAGAGCTTTCTGCAAAGACCAGCTGGTGCAGGCTGTGAATGCCGTGGCAGCAGTGGACAGCAGGAAACAGCAGAAAGAAAACACCCCTAGGGCGATCACAGCACATTTCCTAAATAGCAAGGCAAGAGAAAGGCCACAAACAGAGGGGGAGAAACTCAGTCTGATGCCCTGGGGGCATTTTCAGGTATTAATGGCATGTGGACTAGACTGCCCTTTGGGAGAAAACTCTGTCTGCAAACCCCCTGTTTTGTGCTGGCATTTCAGACATTCCAGAAGTCCCAGAATTCGTGTCCAGCAAATGTGTTCAGGCTCCGTGTCCAGGGTAAAGGATTCCTGCTGGCTTCTCCAGGCATGTCACTCTGCATCTTGCTGTGGGGAGGCTGAGATGGAAAAGCCACAGCTGCTGCTGGCTGGGAGTTGCCAGGAGCTCCAGAGCCCTGCCTGCAGTGAGCTCCTGGCAGGGAGCTGTGTGCTGTGGTGTGAGAGCACTGTGAGGTGGCACTGGGAGCACTGAAAACTTCAGTGGCTTTGCAACATCATCCCTGAGATTGTGACTTCCCTGTTACGCTGCCTGGAAGGCACCTGCCTCCTGTCCTCCTTGGTGGAGAGGGAACCTAAGGGACTAAATGCTAAGGAACTCACATTCCCAGAGATGCACATGGCTGGGCAGGAGAAGGGTGGCTGCTTTATAACCTCTGCTACCAACCACATCTGCTGACGAAGAGACTTTGTGGGACCCTCATGATTTTCCCTGCCTGGTTCACGGGATATTCATGACCAGGAGGAAAAGGTCACAGTCACAGTTCCAAACACAGAAAACCTTCCCCTCAATAACCCCTTTCTCAAGGGGTAGTAGTCCATGTGCTTTCCACCTGTCATCCTCAGCAGGAGAGAGAGAAACCTGCCTCCACATCCCCTCCTGCATGTCCCTTCTCTCTGGTGACTTCTCTGACAAATTCTGATGGCAGTGGAATTTCATCAAAGCTGCACTGAACATCCTCAGGGCGCGGGTGACCTCCCTGGTGACATCTCACACACACACTCACACACTCACTCTCCCCACTCGCAGGGGCCCAGCAGAGTCAGGATCAGGGCGTTTGGGTGGTCGGTCTCTCTGGTTGTTACCAGTACGGGGTGGTGGCCAGCAGGATCTGCAGGGCCATGGAGAAGCAGGGCAGCTGGGCCACGCTGTAGGCCACGGAGCGAGTGGGGGCCCTCAGCTGCAGGAGGTAGGCAATGGTGTGGATGATCCGTCCCACGCAGAAGATGAGGAAGTGGATCCTGGCCACTGCAGGGCTGGGATCCAGCAGGGAGTAGATGGCTCCCAGGAAGAGGAAGGGAAAGATGTTCTCCATGTCATTGCGGTGGGCCCTGAAAAGCAAGATAAGGTTGTTGTTTGCCGCTAGAATTCCCTGTTTTCTCTCATTCTTTCTAGCCAGAGTAGCCATCCCTAGGTGTTGCTGGGCCTCTTCCCCACTGAATGGGGCAGACACAGCCCCCAAAATTGTCAGTTCTCCCTTGCACACAAGCAGGAGAATGTCACACCCTGTGTCTCTCCCTTGGGATGCTCAGCTCTTGAAACTTTCTCTCTGTGGCTGGGATGCCTGTGCCACAGCAGATGACAGTTTGAGGGCTGGAGCTTTCAAATAAACAGAGCAGAACACAGACCCTGTGAAGCTGCAAAAAGCAGCTGGTCAAAAGGCAGTTCCAGAGCATGGCTTCTCCAGTGGAGAAACTCACAGGATGAGAGGGGGTTGTGGTTTCACCTCTCTCCATAAATGCATCCAAAGGGGATTGGGGAGGAGTGACCCAACGACCCCCACGCTGTGGCTGGAGGGGATGCTGTGGCCATGTGGTGACACATCAGCACTGGTGGAGCCAAACCCTGTGCTCCAGAGGAACATGCACCTGCCTGGCTGGCACAGCATCACTGCCACCACCCACAGCGCTGATGAAACAGGATTGGGCCAGGCCATGAGTGTGGGTTGTGCCCCTCCTCCCCCAGCACCGTCCTCTGAACAAACCCCAAGCACCTGGGGGCTCAGCAGGGCTGGAAGGACAAATGGAAGAAGAGGGAGGAGAAAGGAGAGAGCTGCAAGGTAGCCAGGGGCCTCTTTCAGAGGCAGGGGTTAATGTCCTGCCCTGTTCTCTCCCTGCCCTGCACAGACCCTGGCTCTGCTCCCCTCCAGATAGAGTCTGAGATTAAAAGCTGACATCGCCCTTGCTCTGGGGAAACACCTTGGATTGAATGTGTCTTCTCCAGGGCTGCAAATACATCAGCAAGGATGGACTCTGAGAGCTTCAGCTGCCCAAGTCAGATCCCAGGCTGCCCCAGGTTTTTGCTGCAGCTCCAGTTATTTAGTTTTATGTAAGTTTGTTTATCCTGAATAATCAAAAGAAGATTGTGATTATTATTTCTGCTATTACTTTATTTTTGCTAGGAAGGAAGTGGCTCATTTTCCATCCTCCTCCTCCCCCTGGCAGCCCAGCAATTAAGTGGCACTGGATGTGTTCTAAAGCAAATGCTGGAGGCAATGGGACATGAGCAGTGAGGTTCCCATGCACAGCCCAGGGCTCAAGGATAGCAGGGACTCTGGTCCCTTTCCTGCACATCATCAGCAATCCAGCCCAGCACTTGGGGCACCTCCTTTGGTAAGGGGGACAGCTATTCAGAGTTGGATGCTGGATGTTGAATGCAAACCCGGATCCTTCTCTTGCCCTTGCTGCAGTGCACACCATGCTCCTGGTAAAGATTAAACTGCTCTCGTGCGCAGGGTCCCACAGCAGAGCTCCAGGCAGTCTGGCCGTAGAGTATTAGTAGAATATTACTTGATTAGTGAGCCCTTTAGCTTCCCACTTCTTGTTTGCCAGCAGCTGGTGCAGAGGGAATGGTGGCAGCAGAGGGAATGGTGGCACCAGAGGGAATGCTGGCACCAGAGGGAATGGTGGGACCAGAGGGAATGCTGGCAGCAGAGGGAATGCTGGCACCAGAGGGAATGGTGGCAGCAGAGGGAATGGTGGGACCAGAGGGAATGCTGGCAGCAGAGGGAATGCTGGCACCAGAGGGAATGGTGGGACCAAAGGGAATGCTGGCAGCAGAGGGAATGGTGGGACCAGAGGGAATGGTGGCAGCAGAGGGAATGGTGGGACCAGAGGGAATGCTGGCAGCAGAGGGAATGCTGGCAGCAGAGGGAATGGTGGGACCAGAGGGAATGCTGGCACCGCTCACCTGCGGCACCGCTCCACGTCAGGGTCCTCACGGAAGAACTGCAGCCCCCCATTGCGCAGGGCATCCTCTGGGTTTGCAAATGCCTGTAAGAGACAGCCCCCACCTGCTTACAGTCCTCAGGAACCTCACAGGTAGAAGCTTTGCCCCAACCTTGAAACCCTGTAGGGATTTTACCTGCCCAAATTTGTTACCACTCTTCATAGAAACGAGGGTCACTTCCATGCACACTGTCCTGCACCTCCCGGGACTTTTCCTTGTCCTCCAAAAAACCCAGTGCTGCCTGCTGAGCAGGTCCCAAGTGGGGGTTTCAAGGGAGCTCCCACCTCACCCCTGTCCACTTCTCCCCATGAAACCCAGTTAGAGAAGACTTTGCCAGCCAGCAAGATCACTGCTGGCAGAGAGCTTGCAGACACAGTGCGGCCTCCAAAAGATAACCAGGACTTCCAGATCAGAGAATATTCCCTGGCTGGCTTTTTGGCAGTGGCACTGTGTGGCTTTCCCATGGAGAGATGGGATCCTACACTAATAAAGTTAAAAATTGAAATTATTTGTGTGAGCTCCTCACCTATGCTCAAAAGCTGTCCCTCAAGGACCTGGCTACATCTGACAGCTTCTTTTTGCAGCCTGGAAAGGGCCCTGGTGCTTTCTTTAATTATGTTACAAGCCCAAACTGTCCCAGGGCTGGAGCATCATTTAGAATCACAAGGGGAGAAGACAATTCATCAGTTACAATGATGCTACAGCACACGGTATTTGTATTCTTAGATCAGAAATGTCTCCCTCCCTCTCCACTGACGCAGTCAGAAACTCCTCAAATACTTTAAAACAGATTTTACAGAAAGCTGGGTTTTATCAGGAGTTGGGGTGAGAATAGTAGAAGTCCAGTTGGCCCCAACTCCTAACAGCAGCTGGTCCTCCCTGCATTTTCCTCCCTGACCAAGAAAAATTTCCTCCAGCTATTGTTTTATTGCCCACGACTTGCTACTCTCCTGGAGCATTCCCATAGCCAGTCAGCCTCCAAAAGCTCAAAAGCTTTCTGCAACACAGCAAGAAAAAAGACCATTGCAATGGTTTCTTCTTAAACTTTTTTTTTTCTTCTCCTTTTTTTTTCCCAGATCCTGCAAATTACTGTAAACAAACTCTTTCTAGAAGCATCTCACCTGCTTGGCATTTTAGATCTCATTATTATTTAGATTAGGTTTCCAAAATTATAAACATCAAGTTACAGATGGTAGAAACAAACAAAAATGGTCAAAGAGAAGTGAGATATTTATCTGCTGCAGCTATGAAACAAGCTTTGCTTTCAACTGAAGTCAAAGAAAACTCAGCTTGCTTCAGGAAAATTTTGTTGAACTTCAGAGGAGGAATAAAAGAAGAAAGCAAAATCACAGAAACCCAAGTAAAGAGCCAGAAAAGGAAGAGAAGAAAAACGAAACTGGATCTTACCTTCTTTCTGAGTCTTACTTGGCCCGTAATGATGGCAACGGCATACATTTTTAAAATCAGAATTGTGCTGTAGAACGTGAATGACAGGAACACCTTATTTTCCATCATTTTGGGAAAACGTGTTGCTCGGTTGCTTCAGCACCCAAAAGCAGGGGAGATCCTGGGCTGCGAGAGAGCCCCGCAGGAGAGAGGCAGGAACAGCTGCGTTTAAACACAACACAAATCCTCTCATTTTCCAGTGAAAGCCCCCGGCCCCTGTGCCCCCGCCAGGCTGCCGGGACAGTGAAAACCCCAGGCAGCGCCTGGAACCGGCTTCCTCTGCTCCTCACCCTGCCGCCAGCAGCTCCCTGCGGATCAGCTGCCCGAGGCAGCGCCCTCCAGGCGGGAGCCTGGCTCGCAGCTCGACCCCCGGCCCCTCGAACCCCGACTCCTCGACCCCCGGCCCCTCGAACCCCGACCCCTCGACTCCCGGCCCCTCGACCCCCGGCCCCTCGAGCCCAGCCCCGCACCAGCTCCCCGCGGTCCCGGGGCACCGAGCGCCGCAGAGCATCCCTGGCCCAGCCGGGCGCTGCTCACCCGCGGAGCGCAGCTCTCCAGCCGTCCAAGGAGGAGTTAGGACGAAGGTAAGCGCTGCCTCAGCCGCTTCCAGCCCTGCTCTGGAGCCCACTCCTCCGTGGCCGCCCTTCCCGTCCCGCCCAGCGCTGGCTGAGCGCTCACTCCCACGGGAGAAGCAGCCAACCCTCTCCTACACATTCCACCTGCGAGGGATGGACAGGGGACACAGTTGTCCCTTGGCCAGCAGCGCTGTCCCCGCACCCCGGGCTGGGAGGGGAGCCCCGGGAATGACCAGCCTGGAGCCCAGCCAAGAAGTGAAGAGCTGCCTGCCCAACCCAAAGGCAGCTTGCTCTGAGAGGATGAACCAAGGCAGCCAGATGGGATTTTGTCCTTGGTTTAGAAAGTGCCATGTGAATTTGAAGCTGGCTTTTCCTCAGCCATCAAACACTGTGGAATGAAGAGTGGGATCAGAGCCTTTGCAGGCAGCTGGGTTACTATTTAATGCAAACTTAACTCCTTCTCCCCCAGCTAGCAGCAGCAAATTTCAGGGAGCCAGAGGAGTGGGAGCTGACAGGAGCTCTCCAAGTTTATCAGAGTGGAAGTGCTGGATTTGGTATTAATTTCCTTAACACAGGAGAAAAACAAAACAAACAAAACAAAAAACTTATTTCAGGAAAATAGAAAATTCATTGCATTTGCCTCTGAATCTTCCTCATGGCCATTCTGCCTTGGTGCTGCAAACCTAGACACTCCACTGCTCCATGCAATGCTCTGGCTCAGCCTCATGACATCTGAGGTGGAAGCACAAAGGTGGGCTACACATGACATGTGTAGGTGGAAGCACAAAGCAGTGAAGAAAGCACAAAGCTAGAAGTGCAATGGGACCTGCAGTGCAAGCAGAGAAACTGGATGTAGCTCCTGTGATTTGTGTTGCCATGGCATGGGGGTGAATGTGGAGTGGAGGCCATGTGGTCTAGTTTTTCTACCCAATACCCAGAAAAGTTTTGACAAACCAAAACCTCCTACCAATAAATATTCTGTACAACATGCCCACAAATAACAGAATATTTGATCACTGCTGGCAGCACTTTGCACTACAGTGGTTAATAAGATGTAAAAGCTGGCCAGTTTAATATCTAGCTGGCAGACAAGAATTTTACTTGAAATTATAGGAACAGTTTGACAGATTTGTCCTCCTCTCCAACCCCACAAGGGTCATAATTTGGTAAGTTTTGAGTCCCCAGATATGCTGAGTGTTAACCTGGGAAATTAAGACTGTGATTGCCATTGTATTGTTAGTGCTCTATAAAGCCACTCTGCAGTTCAGGCAGTTCTCATGGGCAATCCAAAAGAACTATATATGTGACATGCAATAAACTGTGCTATTCCTGAACCCAGCTGGCTCTTTTGAATGTGACCAGACCTATAATTCACAGACTATTGGTACACCTGGCATGGGGCCTTATAGTTATGTTTTTTCAGCAGTGCAGAGAGCCTTTGAAAACCTCAAGCACTTGGTTTTAAGGGGAAGCTACTTGCAGTTGGTCACCACCACCATGACATTGGAGGCTGCTGCAGAGTAAGTCCTGGCACAGCCCAGTGTGGAGCTCTGCAGCCTCTGGCAGGCTGCTTCCCTGGAGGTGGGAGTGGGGACACCAGGGCATGCAGCAGCCATGTGGATTCAGAGTCTGTGCTAAGAGCTGGGATGTTCAGCAGTGAACTACATCCAAACCCATCCACGCTTCCCTGGAGCTCGGCAGGGTACTATAAACACCATAATGCCAAGTGTAAGTACACAGTGGCAAAGCCACACCCCAAACACTGCTCCCTCCCATCCCTCTTCTCCACAGCTAATAGGGATCAACCCACAGTGGAGAAGACCTCGGTGCCCAAGGACTGGGGTTATGCAAGGCCAGACCAGCCCCACAGCATGGATGAGACATTCTCCAGCAGCCCCTTTTCCCAGGAGCCTGGGAGAGGGCAGGCAGCCAGACCCTTCACCAACACATCACACCCTCCATCCAGCAGCTCCAGTTTTTACCAGCTGATGATCCAGTCCACGGGGTCTTCGCCAGTGGGACCTTTTTCCTTCATGCACTTCCTTCCCCCTCCCAAGACAGCCAACACCTCGCTGAGCAGCAGGAATATGCACCTGCAGACAAGTCAGGACTCCTCCCACTAACCAGCCAGACTTCTCCTTGGCACCTTGGCATCATTCAAACACTGGCAAGGAGCCTTGGACAATTTGCACCAGCAACTGGCACAAATTTACATTGAACTGAGAGATCAGAAAGCACACCTTGTTTAGGGCTAAGCCCTCAGGGAAAATTCTGTTGTGGATGTGTTAATTTTTAAAAGGTTGTTTGTTTGGATTTTTTTCCTGTGTGTTTATGCATTTCAAACCCCTTTCAGTGTTACACAGAGTGGAACACCAGAGCAGGGGGTTATGGATGGGGATGAGGAGCAGAAGATGACTGCAAAGGTAGGTGTAATGCTCCTGGGATCCCAGCTCCTTTTGAGTTTACCAGGTTCAGGGCTCTCACGCTGGGTAGAACACATCCACACTTGCACCTTCCTGACGTTTGAGACCCAAGGCAACGCAGCTGCCGTTCGACTATCCCAATAATCCATGCGGAAGCAGGCTGTTAATACTAATGGCTTGTTCCTCCTCCACAGATCACATCCTGCCAGGACAGAGCCCTTGCCTGAAGAAGTCCAGGTCCTAACAGCAATATGTCTTTAAACTACAAGTAGTGCCTTAAAACCTTGAGCCTGAGAGGTCTCAACCCAGGACAAGATCTACCTAAACCAAACACCGCTAGCCAAAAACACTGTTTTTTTTTTTCCTGAGAAATTATTTATTCTATTTTCTGAGAAAATATTAACTTAAATTATTTGTGAGGCTTTGAAAGATTAAGTTGTCAGGTTAGACTAACCCCAGGAGCTGTAGGCAAAAACATGCAGCATTTTGCTGGAGGAGGAACTGAACTGTAGGAAACAGAAGGAATGAAATATTAATGGGAAATGCTTGAGAAAAGTACTTAAAAATAGAAGCCTGTAAAAGTGGTTCTGCTTTTGCAAGATTATGGAATAAAAACCACTCTCACATAGGTTATTTATTTGACCAACTGAATTATACTACAGTATTGTGACTATATTTTTCCACTCTTGGGAAATTTCCCGGTGGCAGCAAAAGGGATTGGTTCAGTGGAGCACTGGCAGATCTGCTGGGGTGGCACAGCCTGGGCTCTACCCTGATCCCAGAGGGAAGCTGACACTTTGAGCAATTACAGCTCAGATCCCCCAAAATTTTCCCTAATGAGCCCAGTTACATCCTACAGCTGGGGCTAAGTGAAGAGCCCGAGGGGACTGCTCCAGGCTGGAGAAGATGGGCATGTAGGTGGCACTTCTGCAGCATGCTTCCACATGCTGGTGGAGAAGGTGCAGAGCCCAGCTGGGAGTTTGCTTGCCCAGGGCACACAGCTCAGCCCAGGAACCGAGCTATGTTCCCAGCTTGCTCCAATGCTGCCGTGGACACCGGTGCCCTCCTGCCCTGCCATTTCTTCCTGCTGCTCCCAGCACAAAGCCTTGGAGCCTGCACACTCCAGTGATCACCTGCACGCATCCTGGGAAACCCAGCTGCCAAGGGAGGCTGTGCTGTGCTGGCTCATCAAGCAGGATGACTTTTCAAGTAAAGGCATGAGCGTTTCAGCTGTTTATTAGCAAGAAGGGTGCTCCACCTGCGTTCCCTCAGTCTGCACGAAAGCTCCCACCACCATGACGCACCTTCCGTGGATCTGTGAAATCCTCTTGCTTCACCTGCAGCTCCCTATCCCCAGACTCCTGGGCTCCTCATGCTTGTTTCAGCAAGCAGGACACAGAAGATACTGCAAAGTCAGTAAGCAGTGGAACCACCAGCATCTCTGGCCCCCAGCATGAGCATCTGTTGTGGTTTGACATTGGCCAAATGCCAGGCACCCATGAAAGTTGCTCGCTCACCCTCCCCTGCCACAGCTGGGCAGAGGAGAGAGAAAATTAATGAAGGGTTCATGAGTTGAAATAAAGACTGGAAGAAAAACTCCACGGGCAAAATAGGCTCGGCTTAGAGGTATGAAGTGAGTTTATTCCTAACAAAATCAGAAAATGATAATAAGAAGTGAAATAATCCCTTAAAAACACCTTTTCTTCCCCTAACCTCTCCCTTCTTCCCATCGACAGTGCAGGGAGACAGGGCATGGGAGTTTTGGTCATTTCCTCACTCAGATTGTCTTCCGCTGTTCAGGGAGAGAAGTTGTTCCCCTGTGAGACCGTGGGGTCCCTCCTATGAGAGACAGTTCTCTGTGAACTTCTCCAGTGTGGGTCCAATCTCATGAGCAGCAGTCCCTCCCAAACTACTGCAACATGAGTCCCTCCCAGGGGAACACAGTCCTCCCAAAACTGCTGTGGCGTGGATCAATCTTTCCATGGGGTGCAGTCCTACAAGGACAGGCTGCTCCAGCCTGGGAGCAGGGACCTCTCTGTACCCTGGGTCTCCCACTGGATCACAGCCTCCTCCAGGCATCCACCTGCTCCAGCCTGGGCACCTCCCCGGGGGCTGTGGGTGGATCTCTGCATCCCCCATGGGTCCCCACGGGCTGTGGGTGAATCTCTGCATCCCCCATGGGTCCCCACGGGCTGTGGGTGAATCTCTGCATCCCCCGTGGGTCCCCATGGGCTGTGGGTGGATCTTTGCATCCCCCGTGCATCCCCGTGGGCTGCAGGGTCACAGCTGCTTCAGCATGGTCTCACCACAGCTGAAGAGGAATCTCGGCTCTGGTGCCTGGAGAACCTCCTTCCCCTCCTGCTCCACTGACCTTGGTGTCTCCAGGTTGTTTCCCTCACATGTTCTCACCTCCTCCTCTTCTCTGGCTAGAAAAAACTGTGTTTCTCACTTTGCTTTGATTTTACTTCTTAAATATGTAATCACAGAGGTGTTACCATAATTTCTAATTGGCTCAGCCTTGGCCAGCAGCATGTCCATCTTCAGAGCCATTAGGGATTGGGTCAGAGCCATCAGGGGAAGCTTCTAGCACCTTCTCACAGAAGCCACTTCTATGACCTCC